TGATTAGCTCTTACTGAACGAGCGTGTGTGGACTCGTTCTTTTTATTGCTGCTTTTTCATTATCTGGTCAAAGTGTCGTGCTCGAACAATAATTTCATTAATCCATTTATTCTCACGAACTTTTTTTTTTGAAAAAGGGCTATGATGGTTGTATATGTATACGATATAAGTTTATTAAGCAAATAAAGCCTTTTGTTATAATAAAAATATTGCGTCTCTTCGTATTACTTTAGTGATCATATGAGTACATATGAGTGCATATGAGTACACTGGGAACATATGTGCACAATTCTTTTGTAAATTATTTGTACATATATTCGATACAAGTTTATTGAGCAAATAAAGCCTTTTATTATAATAAAAATATTACATCCCTTCATATAAGTTTAGTGCACATATGAGTACATATGAGTGCATATGCTATATGAGTACACTGGGAACATATGTGCACAATTCTTTTGTAAATTATTTGTACATGTATTCGATACAAGTTTATTGAACAAATAAAGCCTATTCTTATAAGAAAAATATTACATCTCTTCGTATTACTTTAGTGCACATATGAGCACATATGAGTGCATATGCTATATGAGTACACTGGGAACATATGTATACAATTCTTTTGTAAATTATTTGTACATATATTCTATACAAGTTTATTGAGCAAATAAAGCCTTTTGTTATAATAAAAATATTACATCTCTTCCTATTAGTTTAGTGCACATATGAGTACATATGAGTGCATATATTATATGAGTACACTAGGAACATATGTATACAATTCTTTTGTAAATTATTTGTACATACATTCTATACAAGTTTATTGAGCAAATAAAGCCTTCTATTACAATAAAAATATTATGTGTCATATTGCTTCAGCTCCATATGAGTACATATGAGTACATATGCTACATGAGTACATTGGGAACATATATGCAATTCTTTTGCAAATTATTTCTAATGAAATTCAACAAAGTTAGCCTAAGGAACAGAACTGTAAAAAAATCCGCGTGTACCACTTACAAAAACCTCCCTTGTCAAAAGACAAGCGAGGTCAAAGGATATAGTCCACACACTGGACCCTTTGACTGTTACTCGAGAGGAAAATTGCTTGGTGAAATATTCACACGACGATTAACCGGCAGTTAAGCTGTCCAGGTTGAGAAGGATGAGGATGTCTGAGCATTAGGGACTTAGTTTGCTTGAGAGATTCCAGATTAGGGAATTAGAGCAACTATGTAACTGCTGTCCGAGCTTAATACGCTGTGTCACTCATCGCGTGTGTATTTTTAATGAAAATTCGCTTTAGCACGTGACACCTAACGTTACAACTAAACCGGTGGTCAGATGAAAGATTCTGACGATTCTCTGACGTTTTTAATTGCAATTTAATGTGATTGTACTGTGACAATTTAAAAATGAAAATTAGGGTTTGTTATCTAGATTTGATGATTTCTATTCGAATTTTATGGATAAGCAGTAAGAGCCCATATGTTCGTGACGTGGCAGTAAAAGTGTTACAACTTTGTTTCTGAAATTGAACAATAAATTACCTTTTCCAGAACAATTGATATTATATCCTCTTAAAGTATTTTAATTTTTGTTTTAAAATTCGAAACAGCTTTGACGAGTTTTAATTATGAATATCCCTTCAGTAATTGCTTTTTCGCTGCTGTATATAATAAATTTTAAATACGATTATCCCCATTCTAATTACATTCTGTGAAATTTCCGTTGTGCTGAAATATCGATCGTTTGATCATAAAGAAATTTCAGAATGTTTGCAATGTAATTAACAATAGTTTTGATTTAACAAGAAACGACTTGAATTAAAATATTAAATCGTTGTAAAATTCAAGAATACCTGCATTGCCAAAAAGACGACAAAAAATGAAAAAGAACATCGGTTTAAATATACGAATGTGTTTTCAACTGTTCATAAAGCAGCCCGACATATCACGTTGGAGTAAAATTGCACCGCAAACTGCAGATAGAATTAAAGGTATTAAAAATGAGCGTCATAACCGTTCCTGGTCCTGGAAAAACATGTGTGCGACAAAAAGCAGCATGTAGGAGAGAAACTAAACGTGAGAAACATAAAGGGAATGTGGGAACGCCAGGAAAATACAGAAACAAAACTGCGGAGAAATGAAAACGCTGCAATCGGAGAAACGGTGATGCAAAAGGGTAAAAAAATATGGTAAGAAGAAAGTGAAAGAAAAAATATGGGAGATTTTATTTCGGTGGATACATTGCGTATATACTGTTCGTGCGATAGCTTTCAATTATTGATGGAAATTTGATTTAATAAACAGAACTCGTATCGAACATTAATTCACGTTGAAATATATGTGAATCAATATAGAATTTAATTGACACAAATTGATGAATATAACTATGGATTTTTAAAGCTTTCGATAGATGGCATAGATTGATTACTAATTTTCGGGGTGGAAATTGAGAAATACGAAGTTTCAATTTTTCAATTTTTCAATTTCTCAATCTTTCAGTTTCTCAATCTTTCAGTTTCTTAATCTTTCAATTTCTCAATCCTTCAATTTCCCAATTTTTCAATTTCTCAATCTTTCAATTTCTCAATCTTCCAATTTCTCAATCTTTCAATTTCTCAATCTTTCAATTTCTCAATCTTCCAATTTCTCAATCTTTCAATTTCTCAATCCTTCAGTTTCTCAATCTTTCAGTTTCTCAATCTTTCAGTTTCTCAATCTTTCAATTTCTCGATCCTTCAATTTCTCAATTTCTCAATTTCTCAATTTTCCAATTTCTCGATCTTTCAATTCCTCAATCTTTCAATTTCTCAATCTTCCAATTTTTAATTTTTCAACTTGTCAATTGTTCAATTTTTCAATCGTTAAATTTTGCAATTTTGGAATGCTTCAATTTTTCAATTTTTCAATTCTTCAATTCTTCAATTCTTCAATTCTTCAATTCTTCATTTTTTTTCAATTTTACAATTCTTCAATTCTTCCATTTTCCAATTTTTCAAATCTTCAATTCTTCGACACAGTACTCATAACAGAAATATAAAAATCCTTCAATAAGAATTTCCATAAAAAGAAACGAACGAGCAAGGTACAACATCCGAAAGTTCGAATTATCGGCACAGATACGGTCGAATAAAAAAGACTGGCGTAAGGGTAGAGTATCTAAATTCTGGTTAGCTGGTTAACAAGCAAAAAAGTCTTCCCGCGATCTCGTATCCTCCGGTTGTTTTTTCAAGAACAAGAACGAGCAGGCAACTTTTTAGCTGGTTAGCAAAAACCACTTAGAATGTACTGACCGTGGATAATTAGAAGTTTAATCCCGTGCTGTAGTACGGATCCTCATTCTCTCATAAACGAGTGACGCAAGTTCAAAACAAAAAACTTCCTGCGACCATGTAAGAACTAAATTGAACCGAACAATTCTCTTCTTATTATATTTCCTCCCTGTTGTTTCTGCTTCGAAATAAAAGAACTACGGGTGGCCATGTAAAAACCGAAATGAACTCGAGAACTCTTCTTTTATCGCATTTTTCCTCTTTCGATTTTTTACTGTGTTAGCAGACTGTTATTGAAATTTTTTGGCAAGTTTTATTGTCTTTTTACAGTGCAGTAAATAATATAATATTTGTTATTAATTGTTGAAGTACTTTGAAAAACGTTTCTAAGGTATTTATGTTCCCTAAAATATCTTCTAAGACATTTTGAAATACTTCTCGAGTAATTTCTAATAAAATGTGAAACAAAATATCGTTTTAATAATTATTTCTTTCGTAAAGAAAGAATGTATAAAGGAACAGTAAAAGAAGTTCACGTCGGACATAATCTTTTTACAAGGATGCGAAGATAAAAATTTGTCATAACTTTCCGCGTAAGAATATAGTTAATAAAATGCAGCTACGGTACCGAAGAGAAAATAGCTTTGAAGAAAAAGTGACAGATAAAAAGGAAGAACTTTCGATAAGCTATTTTCCCTGTCGAGAATCCGGACAGCTGCTCCCACTTTTCTCTCTCTCTTCCATTTTCTTTCTTCGCTGCAGAAAGAACGGGGAACTTGTTCTGCATCGATTAGCAATTTCTGTTCGAGAAACATACTGGCCGTTGACCGACTTCGAAGTTGAAATTATTGTTACGGATTTAATATAAGTTGAGAAAGAAGCGAGTCGAGTTGCTGACCGAAGAGAATAAGAAACCGAGAACGCTATGCTTGCGGTGAAGAAAAAGGTAAAAAAAATCTTATCGTAACAAGCGAGAAGTTCTGGAGTATTATTTAAAAGCGGAATGCTTTGCTGCCCGACTTTTATTCGAGCGAGGATCGGTCGAAATTTAATTTTAATATGTTCTTAATGTGGTATAATTATAATTGCAATGATTACAATTTTAATAAATTGAAGTTTTCGATCATTCTTTAAGATGCGGTAGTTTAATTGATATTGTTTATTGAGGCTGTTTATAAATTAGATGTATTGTTTTATGTTAAGTTGTTGGTAAAATTGAAACTGAAATTGTAGTCAAAATCGAAGTCGAACTCGAAGTCGAACTCGACATCGAACTCGACATCCAACTCGATATCGAACTCGATATCGAACTCGAAATCGAACTCGAAATCGAACTCGAACTCGAACTCGAACTCGAAATCGATATCGATATCAATATCGAACTCGAACTCGAACTCGAAATCGATATCGAACTCGAACTTAATATCGAACTCGAATACGAAGTCGAAGTAAAAATAAAATTAGAATTAACAAAATTAGAATTAAAAATAAAATTAGAAATAAAATTAAAATTAAAATTACAAAAAAATTAGAAATAAAATTAAAATTAAAATTGCAAATAAAATTAAAATTAAAATTAAAATAAAAAACCAGTGATTAAGTGTCATTATCAATAAACAAAATGTCCTCTGATAATTAAATACAATTGCACCACACTATGTATTAATCTTCAAAACTGTAAGTCTTGTAAAATAAAATGAAGCAGTATTAATTAACTCACCGAGTACACCAAGGCGAAAATTAATGGTAACGACGATAAGACGTCCATAAGCAGCCAATGCAGTCCCGTCGAAAGAATTCCCAGCACCCCACGAATAGGAATCACCGTGAATAAGAAGAAGAGCTGGTAACAGATCTGGGGTACTACCTGAAACATTAAACAACCATGTTCAATATTTATAAAACATACAGTTTAAAAAAAGATTAACTTCAAAAAATTTGCAAAACTATTTCAGATCACTGATACTGTTATATGTAAAATCGTCTTTTATTATTCGGTCCAAAAAAAATTAAACTAAAAACACAATATTCTGTATTCGTTGCAAATTTGTTCGATCATTGCAAATTTTATTCAATTACCGTTTCGCTGCACAAAAGAATTTACCTCGGTAAATAATTCATAAAAAAGCTTTCCATAAATTTTCCCCGATATTGATTCTCAAAGCAAGAAAAAATGTAAAATTCTTGAATTCCGAAAGAAAATGAATCGATCGAAAAACCTTTAACCCTCGAATGTATCCGTGATACAGTAATCGATCGAACGAATTTAGTCGTAACGTTTCGATTCTATTAATTAAATCTTCTCGGTCGAACACGGCGGAATTAAAAATCTATAATCATTTATAAAACCAGCGGGAGCGCGGCTAATACGATTCGGGCGGAGCTCGTTAAAAGTTCAACGATGAAAAAAAAAGGCCGAACAAGAAAATTTCTGAAATGACTGTGCTAAAACAACTGAACCATCGCAGGCCCTGTATGAATAATAAAAACAGCTACCGCTTTCAGTGGAGTTCCACACGAAACTTTCCGATGAAAAGGTTAAGACATAAAGAAATTTTAATGGAAGTTCGAGTGTTTTGTGCACCCTGAATAAACTGAAAACTAGGTTCGCTTAATTAAAATCATTTTAGCAGAAAGAAGACGGTATCGGGTAAATTTTGTATTTTCAAAGTTGTCACCTACTGTTACGATTATTATCTTTTTTATTAGATATGGGGATATAGGGATTTTAGGGAGATAGAGATTTTTGAGAGAAAGGGATTTTGGGATGTAGAGATTGTGGGATCTAGGGAGTTTTGGGATTTAGGGATTTTGGGATTTGGGGATTGTGGGATTTGGGGATTGTGGGATTTGGGGATTGTGGGATCTAGGGATTGTGGGATCTAGGGATTGTGGGATTTAGGGAGTTTTGAAATTTGGGGATTTTGGGGTCTAGGAATTTTGGGATTTGGGGATTATGGGATCTCGGGATTATGGGATCTCGGGATTATGGGATCTCGGGATTGTGGGATTTAGGGATTGTGGGATCTAGGGATTGTGAGATCTAGGGATTGTGGGATCTAGGGATTGTGGGATCTAGGGACTCTGGGATCTAGGGATTGTGGGATCTAGGGATTGTGGTATCTAGGGATCGTGGGATCTAGAGAATTTTGGTATCTAGGGATTGTGGGATCTAGGGATTGTGGAATCTTGAAATTATGGGATCTAGGGATTGTGGGATCTAGAAAATTTTGGGATCTAGGAAGTGTGGGATCTAGAGAATTTTGGGATCTAGAGATTTTTTGACTAAACATTATTGAGTTGTGAAACTAAATTAATTAAATTAATTTCCCCAAAAATTTCAAGAAGATAAAATAAGAATATTAACAAAATAACAAAATAACAAAGTTAATAAAATTTGAAAAGAAACGCGCAACACAAAGTATATAGACACAAGCAAAATCTTTAATTGATCAAATTGTCAATACTGTTTGTTCTTTTCGTTAAATCAATTTCAATGTATCGGAGATCGGTGAAATAACATTTTCAGTTTCAAATATGCCCCGAGTATCGTACGAACATTTTCAAACACAATCTTGTTAGGGAACTATTCAATAAAGGAACAGCGTGGGCGTAGAAATCGATATTCATCAATAGCGATGACTATTGGTATTCACGTGATACTGCCGCAACGTATATCACTATTCGATTCAATCGTAATCGCCGTTGCATCCTGTACACGTGTACATGTAATATGCAAAAGCAACTAAATTCCGACGCACCAGTTATAATTGAATAACCATACAACAATCTCTGCACGGTACATTCACATATGTACATATATTTCATTTTTGTGAACTGTAATTTGAATTAGTGTACGAAAGGTAATTTCCATGTAGGAAGCTTTCATATTTATTAATAATATTTTTAATACAATGTTCAGTTGGAGCGTTTTGTAAATAATTTATGAAATAGGAAACAATGGTGTGGAGATTTTATTTTTTGACGATCAGATTTAGGTAAAATATACAGTGGGCTGTTTAAGGTCACACTAGAAATTTTTATGACAAGGAAGGTATTCATTATTTTAATTTGAAAAAAATTATAAATAATTTTTGAGAGTGGTTTTATTATATTTCACAGCTGTTTAAGTAAATTTGGATGTTGAACCATAACCTCTTAGGAACGCGAGATGTTAGAACACGTGACGTTGCAACATGTGACAACGTGTGAGAACATGTGATGGAATTTCTGGATATCGTAACTTCCAAATTTACATATTCCTAAGTTGTCAACTCTTCAGCTTCAAACTCCTCAATTTTCCATTTTTCAAATTTTTCAATATTTCCAAATTTCCACATCTCTAAGTTGTCAACTCTTCAGCTTCAAACTCCTCAATTTTCCATTTTTCAAATTTTTCAATATTTCAAAATTTCCACATCTTTAAATTGTCAACTCTTCAGCTTCAAACTCCTCAATTTTCCATTTTCAAATTTTTCAATATTTCCAAATTTCCACATCTCTAAATTGTCAACTCTTCAGCTTCAAACTCCTCAATTTTCCATTTTTCAAATTTTTCAATATTTCCAAATTTCCATATCTCCAAGTTATTAACTCTTCAGCTTCAAACTCCTCAATTTTCCATTTTTCAAATTCCCCAATATCTCGAATTCCTAAATCCTCAAAACTTCAAGCTCTCATATTTCATAACTTGACATCACTCTAACTTGACATCATTCTAACTTGACATCACTATATGGCAATATAACGCGAGTGAACTGCCCCATCAAATATTAAACACCAGAAGATCAATTCCCCATCATGCACCACACAATACACTATTGCAACATAATGAGAGTAAACCATGAATCACCTCCTCAAATCCAAGCAGATCAATTTACTATCCAACCCGGTACAAAGTAAGGAAATATAAGAACCACCCTGAAGTAAATCAATTTACCAACAAGCGACTATACGCTCCAAAATGTGGCGATGTAAGAAGAGCCCTGCCAAATGGCTAGTAAATCTAAGCAGATCGAAGAGGTTGAACGTGGAGTGGACATGAAATGGTTCCGGGTCGAAATGTTGGCCACTGCTGGGGTCGATTGGTAACCGCAGCTACTCGACCTCGGTCTGAACCTGTGCTATGGATTCTAGCTTGCGGTTAAACCTCCTTTCAACGAGGACAGGGGCGTTAATGAATCCTATCGAGTCTCGCTGTTACACTGTCGATGTTCTTCGTTCGACTTCTTCTTTGTAAGTCACGGATTGACTATTTGACCCACAAACAGGAGTACCACTTGCACTGCTGCTTGCGGAGTGCGTCACGTGCGGGAGGTTCGGTGTTATTTTCAGATGACTGTTTCTATCGATTTTTTGATCATTTTATTTGGTAGCGAGAGCGCCAAATGGCACTTGGACTTTATTTTTGGTTGTCTTTTATTTAACTTTGCACTTTGACGAGTTTCGCATCCACAGATCAAATGTGACTTTTGGTAATAATAATTTTTTAATGCTCTTCATTTTGAAGTTTGGGCTTAATTATAGTTTCTAGTTAAGTATCACTGAATGTAAGATACAACATCTTTGTTTTAATATACTGAAGATTAATTTCGTTGCTGTCCATATCAATGTTTCCATTAGCTCGTGTATTTCATATCAAATACATTTGAAGGTTAAAGTAACTTGTAACTAAACCTCAAATTCTTCTTCCACTTTTATCAGCCAAAAAAAAATGGTTAGTTAAACGCATGATACTCTCCACATGTAACCACTACATGTACACATAACAACTATACATTAGTTGAATTCGAAAGAGAAACTTACAGCTACGTATCGATGACCTCAAAGAAATTGAGATCACGTAAGCATATAACACGAAACTGCAGTAAAACGGTACAGCGTCCTAACCATATCTTTTATTGTTCTGAAAACGTAGTTTTATTGTGACAAAGAAGCTGCTATCGTGACAGGCGAACGTGACAGTAAGTCTATCTTTCGCAACTAACTGCTAGCTAAAGTCAAAACACGTCTCTCAGGTTGGCAACAGCTTGACGTACGATGTACTATAATGGCGGGTGGTTGGGATTTGGTGTACAAGGGACCTGTCTGCCTCATAATCACCTCCGCGTAATATGATCTGATAATCGATATGGTTATAGACTGCGGACATTTTGCAACTAACAAATATTTGCTTCTTTTTGCAAAAATAATAATTTCTTATAACAGAATTATAAGTACAGTTGTGAGGTTTTAAAATGCAATTAAATTTTTTGTATTAGAATTACAAATTTTTAGATAGAATTATAAATTAAATGAAATAAATATACAAATAAATTGTATTAAATAGATATAATTTGAATCAAAGTCATCAAGGTACTATTATATTATATTATTATAAAATATGCATTGCATAAGTACAATATTATTATGTGAGTTCTTGTTCTAAAATTTCTTTGAATTTCTTCTTACATTTTTACCAAAGCAATTATAACAATCCTTTGCCTATAAAATGCAATGAAAATGTTTTACAGAATATTTCATTGAAACTTCAGAATAAAAGATTTATGGTCTAAATCTAAAACAAACAATGAACGTGACATGTTTTCCGTGATAGACACAAACTATAAATCAGCGACAGCAACCTTTTATGCAACGAACCTAAATTGAGAATCCGATAATCAATACACGTCGCACTAAAAGAAGCTAATTTATTACTTTAAAAATTGTTAACATATAATCTGCTTCTTAAAATGTTCGATACTCTCCATCGACATTCACAAAATTATTTCATAATTGATACATTATTCGCTTTTAATTAAAGTGGGCCACAGCTTTATTTCCGGTCACTCGTTCCAAATTGCCCCAATAAATAACTCGGTACACAAA